GCGTAGAGCTAACAGAACTGGCAGCGTTGCGAGGCAAGGGCTCAAACATGTACGGCTGGAAGCCTTCTACACCAAACCAAGCTTCTGATGTCCTGGCGTCCTCTTCCACAACATCTTCGTCCCCACTTTCTTCCGAGACGCCGGCCACAACCAACCTTGCTTGCAAACTTTCCACCACAACAATCCCGCCCATTGATTTATGACCAATCACATTCACTTTATTAACTCGTGTAAAGCCGTGCACCACTCAGGAGAATTCAGAAATGCAACCGTTGGAACAGCCGCTTCCCTACGACTTGAAGCTGCTAGAACTGTTTTAGTTCCCACTTACTCAGTTTTGCACACAAAAAGAAAACTGGTTCAGATGGTTGGAATATTCTTCCATAACAAATACTGCTTTGTGCTTTGCTTGTTGGGTATTTGGCAAAAGTCAGATTTAGAATGCGTTAGTGAATAATGGAGGGAGTAAGTGGTAAAATGCACTGAGCAAGTTTCAAAAATGTAGAAAATGTTTATGTAGAAAACAGTGAATTGAATCATGGCTCTCCTCTCTGGCTGCTCAGCACCCCTAAACCTCTGATCCTACAATCGACCCTGTTACAAAGATTCAGACATTGGTTCAGATTGTTGAGTTCAGTTCATTGCATAGCAGCTCAGAGAAAGCCATTTTGGACCAAGACTATTTAATAAGATGTACCCAGAAAGGCAGGTATTTCATCTGAACTACAGAAAAATAACATATGTGTGAGGAAAGCGTAAGGACCTGATGTTGCATCTGAAATATTTTCCAGCAATAGAAAGGAATATTTTCATGGTTTTTATTTTTTTTGATGTTTTACCGTTTCTTTTCTTTCTTCACAGATGGTCTTTTGAAGTCCGTTTTCTTTTCCTATAATTGCTATTAAACTCCATTGCAAAGTTGAGACAACCCAGTGTGCTAGATCTGGTTAGAAATACTTTTATTGTGTTTTTACATTTTTTTTTTTAGTTGTAAAAACAGTACGGTATATATTTTTTTCTCATCATCAATTCTTTATTTTCCAGGCAAATCTAATAAAGAAGAGAGGAAAACAAATCACCAGATTCTTTAGAGGAATTACTAAACACCACATAAGATGGAACGTATATTTAAAATTTCTCCACCCAGAGCTTCACCAGACTCAACAAAGAAAGATGAAGACATCTCTACAGAAAAAGACAAACTAGTTCTGAGCATTCCAATAAAAAAGTCAAAACTAGAACTTCCGGTGATTGAGGAAGGTCAACCGAGCAGCAGTGGATGCTCAACAGTGGGCCAAAAGGAAAGTGATGTGGAAGAAAGAAGAGAAACCAATAAAGCGGCAAGACAGTCTGATAAGACCTATGACATTCCGCTTGAACACCCATCTTCCACGACGGGGTCATTTCCCTCAGACCCAATGCCAAGTCTAAATGTGCTTTTTAGCTATGACACTCTAATTCGACCGCGGTTTGCCAGCTGTAGCTCATCTGTTGAAATGGAAGGAGATACTGATGAGCCTGTAGTAAGCAGAAAGAGCAGCATCTGCCAATCTCTAAGCTCTGAGGGAAGTAAACCAGACGATGAACTACTACTCGAGGTTGAGGAGCCAGCGCCTCTTACTCTAAGCCCTCTAGGTTTAGGATACACTCCAAACCTGTCCTTATTGTCACCTTCATCCCATCCCTCAGTTTGCTCTCCTTTGCCCATCAGCAGCTTCCCCCGATCTCCAAGTTTACCCAACATGAAGCTCCAAAGCAGCTTTAAGGAGTTTACTCCAGATTTCAGTGATGATGAAGGAGATGGAATCTACTGGTTCCGGTGCTCCAGTCCAGGCCTGTACCAGTGCAGAGAGAGCGGCCTGGTGTTTGACATGAAGGGAGAAGGAGACGTGTCCTACAGGATTGTTCCTTGGGAGAGAGGATTACTGAGCCAACATGGCAAGAAGCCTGCAGGACCTCTGTTTGACATCAGCTGTCAGCAGCAGTCTGTGGCTCAGCTTCATCTCCCTCACTGTGAGATCCGCTCCACAGGGGGATGTAACTTCCTGTCAGTCGCTCACATGCATGATGAAGGAATCGAGTTTATCAGACCTGAGAGGATCACAGAAACTCACCTCATCATCAGCATCACAGGGTTTTCTACTTTTGGCAACGTCAAAGATGAAGATTCTCCTCCGGACCCGATCCGAGCCTTGGTTCTGCTATTCTACAAGCCTCCAGTTGAACCCAGTGTCACATCTTTCCTCAGTGTCTTGCTTCTTCCAAAGAATATTGTGATTCTGGATGTGAAGCGGACCAGGAAGAAATTGTTTGGATTAGAGACATTCCTCGACGTACCCCCAAACTGTAAACTGAGGCCAAATCAGCTTTACACTCTGTCCACCGATCCCGGAGAAGACTCGGTCCTGGTTCAGCCCACAGAGGCTGAGTTTGATGCAGAATCCTACGACTGCCTCACATTAATCAGCGTGACTTTAAAAAGCATCATTGGAGATATTGAGCTCAGTTTGAAAGAGAAGAGTGACTCCAGTTGTGTCTGGGAGGGACATGTTGGCCTTTTACCTCAGAGATTAAAAACAGGTCTGACTTCTGAAGAGCAGCTGAAGGAAACTCGGACCCAAATCATTGATAAAATATCAGAACCTGTTCTGCATAGTTTGCTGGACAGACTTTTGGGTCAAAAGGTCCTCACTGACTCAGAGAGTGATTTCATTAGAAATCAGGGGACCAAAAGTGACAAAGCTCGAGTTTTAGTCGACACAGTGAAGAATAAAGGTGACCAAGCAAGTTCAGAGATGATCCGCTTTCTCTGTAAGCTCGACCCGTACTTCTGTAGAAATGTGGGTCTCATCTGTGAGAAACCAGAACCAAAGCAGTAAGCAGGACACTCACTGGTTCTATTCTAAATCACTGAAGGAAAGAAAGACATCTCTTTAAAGGAATAGTACACCCAAAACATGATTAGCCTTCATTTTCTACTCACCCCCATGCTGAACAACACTCTGGAATACTTTTTTGATATCTCAAATGCATCTGGAGATCTGGGAGGCTTCTTGCTGTCTGCTGACATTCAAATAATGGAGGTCTATGGCGCCCCAGGCAGAAAGGCCCATAAAAGTCCACAAAAAACGT